CTTTGTGCATTGATTGATTTTTGTGTAGCAATTTTTCACCAGACTGCATACAATTGTATGAACCCTTTTAGCAAACAGCTAGTTGAGCGGGCTTGATCTGTCACCGCCTTATAAAGCACATGTATTTTCCAGAAACATAATGGCAGATACTCTACACTTTTATCCTTCGTAGATTCTACGGAATGCACAAGCTATAATCTGGTACTTAGTGTGAAGTGGCCAATTTTTACACAAACTGGTATCCATTGCTTTCATTGATACTTGTTAAAATCTAAGGGAAAACAATTTCTCAAAATCTTACCATATCATCGATGTACATGTGAACAGACACACCTGTAGCAGTTCTTTTTGGGCAGAGCCGTTATCCTTTCAAGTCTTCAAATATCCGGAAGATGCCACTAATAAGACACGAGTTGATAGTGGCGGCTAAAAGCTTTGCGAAAGAACCTGCAGATTGATATATCACTAGCAGTGATAATGCATCCTGGCTAGTAGCCATATATTTTTAAGATGAGTCCAACGTGGCATGGAGTCTGACGATGTTCTCTGTCAAATACTTTCTTCTTTTAACATTTTTTAATAGCCAGTCCTTCAAATAGACGAATTAGATGTTGTAGTACAATATTAAGCACAACACCAGAATATGGCGATCTAATATTTTGCGTGAAGCTGTCTTTGGTGTAGAAAACTTCCATAAAAATCCTACAAAAACCGATTTGTATTCAAAACCTGAAATCATGAAATCCTAGTCGGTTCCCAGCACATTCCGAGAAAACAACTCAATTTTATTTTGAAGACAAAATCCAACTACGCCTTTTGTCTGGTTTATAAGTTAGCCATAATTGTTAGACCAATATAATGGATGAATGCAATATCTAGCTCGTTTTGTCACTAACAACGTAATAAGAATTATTTAGATTAGACAAGAATGTTAAGTGAATTTGATGGACATTTTTTCAAATCTGACGCAAGCAATTTGAAACTATGCTTACTTTCCAGTGACGTCACTGCCCGCTCGCCGTGTTTCATTGTTCGGGCATATATCTTCTTTACCTTTTTGGAAATTGTTTGAATAACACTGAAAAAGTTGACTTTTTCAGCTTTCTCTTGATCTAAAAAGTCTGGATTTGCTCTGTATCTTGGAATCGCTTGTGCATGAATTTCTCTTCCTCTTCAGATACCAAGGTTGATCGGCGCGAGACCATATTACTCTTTTTTTTCAAAAATTCGCTCGGTGTATCTCTTTGCAATATTTCATTTATCGGTGTACACCTTTGATGCATTTGCCATTGGCCTGAGCGTAATTGTGCGGAAATTATTCCAAATGCCCTTCTCAATTGTTGAAGCAGTGTGTAGGGGAGCCATGTGCTTAAAACCTGTTGCTCATTGAGAAAAGCTTGAAGAATTCAGCAAATCCCAATCATTAAGAGCATGTCGTAATCGAAGGTGACCACTAAATCCAGCACACCTCAGTGTGTACAAAGTGGTGCGCGGGTGGTTTGCACGGCTAGCGGAATTTGCTCTAGTTGCTTTCATTGTAGGCCAACGCTAGCCGGTCAAATCATGTTCGTGTTGTTTATGTGTCTTCACGTGTTTTGTACTTTCACGCTGGTAAAAGTGATTGTCAGTGTGCTCCGAGTCCAATCAGCTAATCTAGTTTCTTTTTGCGGCATTACAAGTTGCCATGGACCTATCACCTACTTGCAGGGCAGAATTAAATACCTTCCTTGTAGTAAATAGTTCCACAAAGTCTGCATTCGTCTGACTCCGGAACCATTTGCTCTTCAGACAAGCATCAAGCTATTACTTTATAGATTAAATGACCGTTGAAAGTCTAGAACTCGGCGCCGTGTGATCACAATGTAGTGATTTGACGGGACAAGGAGTTCCTTTATTGTTGATTGTTGATGTGCAAGTTCAAGTGGCCAATGCTGCGATTTAAATCTTTAGGTGTTCTGGGCCAGATAAAACTGCGGATGTTAGCTACCAAATGGATTTGATGCTCTTTTTAACGTCGGCTAGCAAACAAGTCAGCAATGACTATTAAGATGGATTTTATAATTCAGTTGTTAATGTCGGGTAGCAGCAGACCACCTTGACCCACAAAAATATGCGGTGCAGGAAGCATAAACCTGAAGGTTGCAACTTAAGGGAGCAATGGAACTTGCGGAATGTCGGGCAGGTACTTGTTTAAAGATCAATCATATGTGAATTAGAATGTATGGTAGCTGGAAGGATCAATTTACGCGGCCATTGCGTCAACGCAGCAACTCACCCAGCTGCATGCGCCTGCGATTTTTGCGCGGGGGTTAGGCACTCGTAGCCACAGTGATTCTTACGTTGACATATTTAGTAATGTCACAGATTCAGCAGTCTCTAGCAATGGTAGGAAATTTTGAAGATTTGTAATTGCCTAAGGTGTGCATTTGTAACTAAATATCACTGGGTTCCTTGATGTAAATGTTTTAAAACTAAGTAGGATTTGTATCGTATTGATGAACGAGTTATAAATTAGACACTTTACCGTGAGTTGTTCACTTTAATTAGTTGAGCATGAAGCGATGCTATGTTTCACTTTTAGGCCTTGGGGTTCTGCGATCAGTACTCAACCTGACCTCTATTTGGCTAATAAATTAAAATTATAATGCGCCGTAGTGACGTGTTTAAAAGTTGTCTTCTGTTGTTGGGTTTTTGGACAGTGAGTCGAAGTTTACAACTTGCCCTGCCTGATCCCATTCAGTTAGACCATGATCCCCGGCTGTCGCCATATGCATCCCTTAAGGCTTTCCGCAGTAAGTTGTGCAACCTGGGGAAGAATATATGTGACCACCACCCTAATGGCAGGCGACAAGGCTTGACTGCTTTTACTGCAATGTGGTTGCTCTCCCACATCCTGGGCAATGAATCAACTCTACGGGATATTCCATAGTAAGCTCTAATCCCATTAAAAATTGTCGTGAAGCTGGAAAATTTCTGTAAATAAGATACACATAAAAAAGCCAACCTACATGATTAATTTCCAGGAAAGAAATGCTAAAGTATCTTTTTGTACTGTTTTTACTTCACTAACGCAATTCAAAATATTGTTGGTATACAAAAGTTGTGAAAGTATGTCAAGCCAACTTACTGCTTTCATTTGTACCCATACAGAAAATAGGTGCTTGGTTATAACTGATTTGTATGCTCCTGTGATTGATTAGTTCGATTTCCTTTGCAAGTTGCATGTGTCAGACAGCCTACGTTCAATATAGCAAACAACATACACAGGACTCGCTTAGGAGTTGCGTTTTCAAGCTACTCACTAGCCGCACATATCGTGTAAGAGTTGAGTTTTTAAAAGTTACTGTATTGTTATGGATCACTTGCAGATGTTATTTACTAAACATCTGGTTGGTAAGCACACTGCAATGAGTTATCGAGAACATTGCAATCAACTGCATTGCAATCTAAAGCAATCTGAAATTTAACAAAAATGCTGTGTGGTTGGGTTGCTACTCACAACCACTATTTTGACCTCTGTTCGCGAGGACCGTATCCGGAATGGAAATGTTTGGGCGTTGGTCCTACCAAAAATGGCACACCACGACCGCGCTTTCGTTCTAGTTTGGACTCATCAGGTGGTGATAGCCTGAGCTGGGGTGGAACCCAGATCCTAGTAGTTCGAACTTGATGCCCTGAATACTATGCAACTGAGATCCGCGAGCAGATGTTCGCAGACCGGAAAGCATTTCATCTTTGAATTTAGCGAACATGCTGTGTGGTTGAGTTGCGACTCGCAACCACTATTAAGATCTCGGTTTATTTTGATGTAAACAACTTTCACTCCGATCGCTAAGACAGTATCCTAAATGAAAATAATTCCTGATGAGTCCAAACTTGGACGAAACCTTGGTCACCGTGTGCCAGCGTTAGGAGGAGCCAAGCCCAAACATTTCCATTTATATTAAGCCAATTTGGATTAAACGATTGAACCACCTCTTGTTGTTGCTTTTCAAAATGCCACACAAAGGAACATATTTCTACCTGCTTACATAAAATTTATAACATTTTTCAACTTGAGCGCTTCACAACAACAGTTTTACACTGAATATACCAAAGGCTATGACAAACGATCTTCTAATTTCTACTTGGTCAGATATTGCTATTTGTGGAATAGACTACAAGTCACTAAGGTCATGTGACAATGTAGCAACATTTAGTAGCATACTCGCAAATTATCTCGATTTTACTGCCATAATAGCTATATTCACATGGGAAAAGTCACTCGATGAGCTATTCTAAGTGAGACAAAAACACAACATAACCAAAGTTTTCCTAACTAGGTGTTGGTCTCAAGCAACTGCCAGTATTAATACATGAAACGAATATCACAATACTCCAGCTAGGCATGTGACTCAATTCAGAGTATGGATACTACTGTACAAGTTGATCTGTGCCGCTATAGACACAGTTTCTCTCATCAAGAGAAATATAAGTGTTATTAATATTAGTGTTAGCATTAGGTTGCCGTTAGCCCTGTTGACGTTTTAACCTAGTTTGTGCCGATTGAAATACATTTTTGTTGCACATATCGCGGATTAAATTCACTTTGTGTTTTACAGGCGGTAAAGTTGTGCGCGTTCTTATTTCAGCTTTTTTTCCGTTATCACTGCACTTGTGTTTTATTGTATGCTTGAACGTAATGCACAGTTTGTACTGCCATTATTCAGCTGATCGATTGCGTAATAGATTGCTAAACAGACGACTCTCGTGCATTTGAGGCTGTAGTTCTTACTTCAACTATCTTACCGAGCTTGTACAAATATGCTGTTTTACCTATTTATAAACTACTGATCAATATTTTCACAACCGTGCGGCAACTGCAACAAGATAAGTTGTTTAATAACAGTTTAAAATCTTTTCATCAGGTGCTTTATTGTGTTAATTAAGATGGCTTTTTACACAAGGATTGATGACGCTTACTTAATAATTTCATTATATTTTTCCTCATTTCTCCCCAGAGTGAATACGCGTTGTACCAAAATTCATCTATCCGTGAAGCGTTTCTTGGTATCGGCTCATATGAAATCCAGAAAGGATCTGCATGCATTAGAATTAAGCTCGTATTTAATAAAACAGCATTACAACGCCGAAAAGTAAATTTCCAATCAGCGGAATTTTTGCGAACAATATTTGATCTATTCAAATCTTATGCAAACTGCGGTGACCTGGGTGACCAAATTTATTTTGGCATAATAATAGAAATTGCAAGTAAGTTCAGTTTCTAACAATTGATGGATATGCGCGTTTACATGTAACTATTATGTCTTTGAAGGTATATAAATGTTATTTTGTACTTTCCCGATGACTTATTTGATGTTCGGATTACCAGCCGACATAAAACCTTTAGGTGCCAGATTTGTATCTAATTATACATTAAAATAGACCTAAAATATATCTGGACAGTTTAAGACCAGTAAACAGGCAAAGGTCATATGAAAATCAGGCGTAAATTATTTAGTCAATAATCCATATATTCCTACCGTATATGTCGTGGTCTATGCAACATTTATTAAGTTGGTCATTTAATGTACCTGAAGAAATGCTGCTGTTAGTTAACTTAAAGGAGTGACAAAAGTATGCAGACACATAAAGTGCTATTCTGCAAGGTAATTATAATAATAATAATGAGTGATAAATTAAAATAGTTAACCAATTGACTTATCTAAATATCGTTCCTTATGCTAGGTGCTAAGCACTCTTGCCAGAGTTTACTTAATTTAATACAAAAGCCTGTTTGATACAGTTTTTAAACAGGTTTTAATATTTGGTTATGCCTACTTGTCGAGTATATCAAAATGAAGCTATTCTCTACAAAAGCGTTCATGTGACCAATTACTTACTTAATTGGCAATTAGAAAGATTTGCCAAAATCGGATAGACTATGCAGTGAACAACAATGTCCATAGCGTTATTGGATTAACGATCATTATGGCATACAGTGGCCGTCCACGGAATATTACCATTACGTTGTGATAAACGAACGTTTCCTGTAGTGTGGAAACTTGGGCAAAGGGTGTACGAACTGGAATAAAGTGCTCTAACGGCTTTCATAGTACACAAACTGCATGCGCTTATTTAAGATCAGGCGAGATCACGAATAATAACTAGAAAAAAGCAAACTCTACGCATAACAAATTCGCACTACTCATTGGTAAGTTAACCTCTGTCCTTATAGTTTCTAATTCATTGCGTCTTACCAAGGCGCTGTGTGGAATTCATAACTTTTAGGACTAGATGAATTCCCATACAGAGTCCGTATCTTGCATGGCAGTAGAAGATGAGCCGGGCTGTGCCAAAGTCAACTGCCAAACCTGCAGAGCCATGGCTGTCACCCAAGACGAAGTTGCACTATCAGTTTTGATCCGAACCTCATTAGGTTTTAACCGGCAAGATTCTGGTAGAAGATACATCACAGGAGACACAAAATATTGAAACAACGATGTCTGGTGCTTTTCTATAATAAACAAAGATTGCTGGCTGTGAGTGTACCAAGATGAGCTGCGTCCAAAATAGTTGATCAGCTCTGCTTGATTTTGCACGGATTGTACGTCCTTTCATTTAGTGAACATGTGGCTATGGTAGAGCAAATATGTCACTGGCTCGCAGATATTGTAACTAGCTAACCGATAGTAAGAGCTCCCCTATTGGACGCAAACACTCGGTGCCTCAGATTCGTTGCGACTCATCTATCTACGAATCAAAACAAGGTAACATGCGATGGTGCAATAGAAGCAATGAGGTATTAAGAACTGCCAATTATATACCTTAACACGGTAACTTTGCGTCGCCTGATGGTCTGCCCCGTAGCACAGGATTTAGCAAGTCCCAGTGGTATAGAAAAAAAGTTGAAGCCTCGGTAACACCCGCGTTCGTTGTTTCCTCTCAAATGCAATATAGCCCGTCTATCGCAAGATTGACCAATCTTAAATTAAAACTCAGTGAATGCTGCTACGTAGATTGGATGATCAGATGCCATCCGTTCTCTGCGTAGAGGGAAAAAAACCACATGATAAAACCTCAGGTCAAAAACAAACAACCTTATAACTCATTGAAACGGAACTGTCTGAATTTGATTTTATCCATCCTAATACACAAAAATAAGGGTATTCCATGTGGCAAATAGTAAGGATGCAAGCGAAACTGGTTGTATTATGCAACTAGTTCCTCATAAATTCTCAGTGTATTAATTTGAACCGCGGCTACTCCAAATAACGCTTTAGACAGAAAATGAGACAAAAGCCTTTGGATTGTTAGACACTCATCTCTAAAATGGCACATACACTCTTTGCACGTTTCCGAATCATCTTTAGAGTTTGGGTGAAACATAATACCCAAGACGTTACCGTGACAAGCGGAAGCGAAATCGATTTTTGTATACCGTGTTCTAGATTTTGAAACTTTAATAATTAAGTGTATTTGGCATACGACCATCACGGATGGCGCTACATGCTTAACGACCTTACTCTCAAAAGCATAATCACTGGCCCAAACAAAGCATTACATTAACCTTCGTGTAAAAATCGGGCGTCTGCGAGCGATGGAATTACCGTGGCTTTCCAGATCCAAAGCAGAAAATGCAGTGGAAGCATGGCACAAAACGCGCAGATAGCCGTTATCCATAATAGATTTATATATGTGTATATATATCTCCACGAAATATTGAAGACCAATATAACAAACGCACGTAAGGAATCAGATGTTGTGAGCGACTCAATACAATTCAAAACCGCAACCCTGTCTAAACACTTCATTACATAAGAAAAGCTCTTGCCTATTAACCACCTGACGGACGTTGATGCTGTCCACACCACAAACGGAATGGTCCTGTGATGTTGTCTGCAATTCAGCAAATAAACGATTAAAAGTCTATTTTGTAATACACAGCATAAGGCCTCGCCACAAATCTGCATTTGTTATGTTCTTGTATCCTACGAGGCTCTCAATTGCATATGAGCCGACATGCAGAGTCTTCTCAGTGAGCTAACCGAGCTACGCGCTCATCAGTCGTTGGCGCATCAGAAATTATTACTGCTCACATAATCTTGGCTGACTACTCTGATCATTGTTGCCTAGATAGCTTTGCTTGGATGATTCCGAGAATAAATGATTACTGCAGCAGAGGGGGCAAAGTAGTTTTGTATGGACCTGCACATGGATAGTATCTACGATTCATAAATGCAATTTGTCGATTCTCTTGGGTGCCTTCCGCATCTGAGAGTTCGTTCTATGTTTGCTAACCCTAGTTTACCACCTTCGCGGTCTTCCGTGGAAATTATCACTAGTTAGCCTTTGTTTTGAATTTGATTCTGGCGCGTTAGCACTCTCAGGTCCAACTGGTGTGATAATTCAACGGGCTGACATTTGAGTTTGCAGTTTCGTACAGCAAACGATTCAAAGCAAACTTGAACATAATAATAACAAAATGTACCGCAAAGAACTTATGCCGCCATTCACAAACGATTCCTAATAGATTTGGTGACATGTTTTAGAATCTGCACACACAAATAATAACTAATGGTGACTGCCCTAACCAATGACGCGGTGCTTGGCTGTGGAGAGCAAGCGAAGCTACTTTGGCATCAAAGTGGCTACGTCGAGGTCATTGGCCTAATCACTGAGATAGTTCACGTCGTCAAACCGTACAACATCCTGTCCGAATATGTCATTTACTTAGCCTCCTCTTGACTTTACTTAAACGGTATTTATCGTTCAATTCTACCGTCGACAATATATTCGCAAATGTATTATTGAAATACATTGACACTCAAACAACCCCACCATAGAAGGACAGTTTCCGCCTAATCAGATCATGCACTAACCATTTACTACTAGTCCGAGCAAGCTGGATGTAATCCACCAAAACCGTAGTAGAAATGAATTGGCTTTACATGGACCACTCCAAAGCGCTTCACAGCCTGACCACAAATTTTCGTTCACACGAATGCTTGGGTGAATAAGCAAATTACCCATCAAAGTCAACTAAAGTTTAGAATCCGCAGTGTTGTTTGTGACCTTATTGTGATATAAAGTAACGGGTTCCAAGATTCTGTATTGAGAGTACGTTTACTTCTATTCTTTATTTTTTATCACCCAAATCTGCTTTAAATAAAATTTTGAATACATGCAGACAGTCACAAGATCTCGCAAAACAATAAGAACATGGAAGATCACACTGCAATTCTATGAGACCTAGACAAGGCTTGTGGGTTCTCATCCAAGCTTTATCCCCCTTTTTTAATTACGTGAAATAAAATGAGTTGAAACCATGCAATCCGCTTATCCATAAATATAACTTTTAAGAACCAAGATAGGGATGTTCTACGCCGGAACTCGATCTGAATACTGAATACTGAATACTGTATTATAGACCAAGTATAAATGGATTCTGTACAACTCTTTCGAAATATGGCGAAAGACGTTATAAAAGTTGTCAACCTTGAATATCATTGTTGTTCTCGTGTAATATTTAAAAATTCGACTCACGATATTTCAGGATTCACAAATGTGATATGTCACCGTAAGTGTGCAGTCGTTCTCTGAATCGAATAGAGGCAAAATGCAAATCTAACAACTTTTTGAACTGTTGCACAGATGTTGCCTCAATCACATTTTCGGACAAACTATTCCAAATGTTTAGCACTCTCCGTTCGAAGCACAATGGGTGGGGAACACGTTTCATATCCGGCATAGCAAGTTTGTATCTGTGTCCGCGTGTGCTGCATGGCCCTCGTAAGTGCAGCATTGGCCTTAGCATTGGGAAGTCACTGATATGTAGAATACGGTATATCATAAAGAGGTCGACCCGCATCTGACGGTGGGACAAAGTGTAGAGTCCTAGTTTCTCCCACCGGTCTTCATACCCAAAGCCACGTAAACTCGGGATGAGCCTGGTAGAAACGTGTTGGACCCGTTCGATTTTTTGTGCCTCGCCTCGTGTAATCGGAAAGTAGGCGGGCGAACCGTACTCTAGCATTGGTCTAATGATAGAAGAGAACAGGCGAGTGGCAACCTCTTCAGACCATGTGCAGAAGCTACGTTTGAGCGCCCAAAGCATGCGCAGTCCGTTCCGATATAGCCTGTTCGTGTTGTCCACGGACTTCAAATCGTAGCGTGAGAGTACACCTAGGTCCTTCACGGAGGGTGTGGGATATAGCGTTTGGCCGTCAAGGGTGTAGGTTCGGCCGTTAGCATCCTTCCCAAGGCTCATAAATACAGACTTGGCTGGGTTGACCGGGAGAAGAACTTTTGCAGACCATGTGGATGAGCGGTTGAGATCTTGCTGGAGTAGGCCACAGTCATCGGGAGCGTCGATTTCTCTCAAAATCTTTACGTCGTCCGCAAACAAGGCACGCGGCGACCGAAGAAGCTGCGGTAGATCGTTGATGTGGATCAGGAACAGAGTGGGCCCCAGCACAGTGCTTGAGGCATCCACTTGTAGAGGGGTATCAGTCAATCAGATGGTCGTCGATCTGTACCCTCCACTTTCGTCCAACAAGAAAGTCGCGGATCCACCGGTGCAGTGAGCCACCTACGCCACACATGCTGAGTTTGTGAAGGAGAACCTCGTGACTGACCTTGTCGAACGCTTTACTAAAATCGACGAATATCACGTCGACGGACTTCCCCTTGTTTATTGCCTTTAACCAATCATGCCTCGTCACAAGCAGGTTAGTAATACATGAGCGACATTGCATAAAACCGTGCTGTGCGGGTGTCAGGACCTCGTTTGACTGTAGCAACTGCAGCAATCTCTTCTTCACGATTTTCTCAGCAACCTTTACCAAAATAGGTGTCAGACAAATTGGCCTGTAATTGTCTACTTTGCTATGGTCGCCGCCTTTCGGAATAGGCTTCACCACCGCACATTTCCAGTCAACCGGCAACGAACCTTCGGACAGCGACATGTTGAAAAGGTCATTCACGACAGGATGAGCATGTCTACTGGAAGCAGCACAAAAGAAAATTCAGGTTTTCAAGTTAGCAATATGGCTATCTAAGGGAGGCATTCAGGAAGTTCCAGGATCCTTTAAGTTTCGGAAATGAGGAGCGCCTACCTAAGACCTTATATGTAATTTGCTAAGCCAAGCATGTCCTTTGATTAATCACGACGTTATTGCTTTTGAAATCGCTAGATATTTCTTCCATCTTCAGAACTAACTGAGACTACAGCCCTACGTTTGTACAGCAATGAATATTGACGTATTTGACCAGCTCACATAAAATGTATCTGGTATTAGCAAACCCCAATCAGGTTTATCAGTTCCGTTATAATCCAACCGCAATACATACTTCAGATCTCATGGGCTCAAATACGTTTATTACGAAAGACAAGCAGCCAGCTGACGAAGTGTGTTCACTCTTAGGCTACCCGAATTTGGAACATTCTTCAAACTTATGTCATACTTGCACCTACGTCAAGTCTAATAGACGAATCACTTGATGGTACGCGATCCTGGAGGCATTAATTGTTTTTGTCCGTTTTACTCATGAGACTAGTTACAGCTTAACAGATAATGAGCTGACTAGCCTTGTTAGTAAGTTGCGTTGCATTATTCTGCATTTGCGTTTAAATGTTTGGGTACTTATTCCAAATCTACATTAGCTGTTTTCTATCATATTAAACTAGTTATACGTCCTTGCTAGAGTCACCCACGGGGAATTAGCATACTGTGTATTTAGGCTGATTACAAATAAATAATTATTGTCTCTTGTATACGCAACTACTTTTTATTATACATCCGTCCTCTGAGATACTAAAACTCTTGTTTGAGGTTGACTTGAACATCTACTATGAGAAACATTACATATTTAAATTTCCATCCAAATTTATCTTAATATTTATATTACACCTCAGGACACTAGATTAGTATTTATTACACGATCATTGTAAAAATCCTAAAAAATCATCTCTGTTTTAAAAATGTAATTTGCTTATTTGACATGCGTTGAAAATTAAGTGGAAACCGTAAAACTCTCTGACCTGCCTAGTCAGCAAATATGTTCCTTGCATTTTGTGTTACACATATATTGTTTTTACAACTACGTTTAACAAAGATGGCTTAAGTTTAATCTAAATTCCGTTGTTGGGTATGGACGAGTAGTTTTAGATATTTAATTGCAATAACCATAAATACGGGACTGAAACAGCCGCACTGATGAATTTAATCCTGCATACTACAGATGATATTTCTGCTCCACATAAATCGTTTTGACGGATAATAAAAATTATCAGTCGGATTGTCAATATTCAGGTTTATCCTGTAGGCTCTGCTAAACTCTCTGGAACCAACGTACATTCCTATAACGATCGTGTAGTTCCAGTAGTTGTACATCGTGCATCAAATGATTGAGTTGCATTAATATATCTTTAATCAAATTTGACAAGTTGGAATGAAAATGGAACAAAGCTAAAATAGATGTAAGGCTAATATCATATAATAATTTGGGGTTTTACTCTTTGCTATTTTAAAGTGAAATATATGCACACTATTGATTATATTTGAACCGAAATTGAGTTTCAAGATGCCGACTGTTATATCAATGTTACTCGGACGCTGCGTTTACGCAGATGGCGAAACGGTATGTTCTAATCGCCAATGTTTCTTATTTCTAGGTGAGATCGACGGCACTACTTACTATTTTCATCCGAACGAAGTATTTACGCGTCCTGAAGAAAGAACAGATTATTCCCAGTCACAATGTAAGAGTTGTACTAAACATAGTTTTTCCTGAATTCCGTAAGTCATTACCAATATTCTTGATTACCCGTATAGCCAACAAACTGTTCTTGTTTCAGTCTACATGTAATTTGCAGTTTTAAAACTGTCGGTGTTGATTCTGAACTCCGAGAATATCGGAATCTTGGAAGTTGTCATACGTTGCTAAAAAGTACGACCGATGCTTCGCTTGCATCATATACGATCCCACTGATCGATTTAGCTGAATTTGACATTCCCATGAAATACTGTCATACATCAGAATTAATTCGTTCACAGCAGATTATTTAACAGTTAAAATGTGTAAAAGTAAGCGTACGAGTGCTGGAACAATTGCTGTTTATATCGTCCCACAGTATGCGCGCTTGTGTTACCCTAGTGCATTTGTAAGCAGAAAACGCGCTATGGCTGTCTTACACTGCAACTGAGAAAATATCGCGGACGAAGGCATCAGGAAAGAATTTTTACAGATATGCAGCTTGTTACTGGTTTATCACTAGGGCAAAGCAATGGCATTTAAATTCATTGATATACACATAGAATTTGTGATCGGGTTATTTTCGGATAATTGTAAATCGTTTCCTCAGCTGTTTTTTAGACTGATGAAAAAGCTCGGCTAACAGTTTGTTTTTTTCTAATACTCACGTCATGTATTTTTGAGCCGGATAAACGGATACGTTGCCACAATTACTCATTTTAAACACAGCTTACGAATTCCTTTTGTATACATTTCTAAACTTTGTGAACTGCTGCACAACGTAACTGCGTTTTACCCTTTACTTCCGTTTTGGATTAGGTTCAGGCTCCTCAACTAACAATCCAGCAAGGCACATATGGATTATCCTGCTGATGAAATGCACAAAGACATTACTGTGAGATGCATTGGAAAAGATCAAATTTACCAACATCTGTTGGTAAATGTAACTGGTTTAATGTTATCCGATTCAGACTGTGAGCTGATATCCGGGAGCGTACGTAACTTTTGGTTATCATAAACAGAAAGTTTCTTAATTCAACCGAATGTGATGAATTATGTAGTACCATTTTGTGATTAAAAAATGACTTGTCAGATAAATAAACTCATTCATGTATCGAGTTTTCTAATAGACCGTAAATAAAACAACTTATCTGCTACGGGTTATCCAGAAATGCAATTATGTTGCCCTCCTTCGATGACGCACCAGCAAAGAAAATAAATATCATACAAAATAAACCCTATATTTTTCACAGTGGCTTGATTCCTTTTATTGCCACTAAGAAGACAATGCGAAACGTCAACCTCATTCAGATTTTATTTTCTCACTGCGCTATTTACAAATTAGAAATCCTACTTTCTTTTTGTTCTTAGTTCTCTTTAACACGCGAGTTTAATGAGCGTAGCACTTTCCGGTATTTGCAAGTACATTACAGCTGTGAATTGTTACCAGTACGATTCCAAACTATATATTTTTAGCAAAAGCTAACATTCCGCTGGTTCCGGTTGGCCAAACTGACTCTGCGTAACACGGGGTGTTCTCTAGTAGAGCAAATAATATGATTGTTTAGCAACAATGGTCAATTTTATCGGTGTAACAATATCTGGTTATAATATTTATCCAGCGACTTGCCTTTCACTGCCCCACATATTCTGCTGTTGTAACTGAACAAGCCTTTGGTTCGCAACATTGTTAAAATTGTCTTTGACGTTACTTTTATCAGTGGATTTTTGTGCAACTGCATAAGCTTCATAAAATATACAAGCTTAGTTAAATACCTTATGCCGTGAAACCAATGTTACGACAACTTGTGATTGGACTCATCCAATGCATGTAGGGAACTGAAGATTGTGCCTTCTAAGTAGTCAATGGACTAAGTCAAAACTGCATCGCATGTAGGACAGATGCGTAAAAAGGTGACAAGAAAGCAACATGAAAATAGATTTCCCATACGATCTCCAAATCCAGGCGATGAATCTCTTACCACTCGACTACCATCACTGCTGTAGAGTCCTCATCTTCATCATGTGCAAACTATAAATGGAACTTGGAACTGAAATGCGGCAGTTTTACAAATTCAGCGTAGATTGCCCAACAGGAGGTCTTACTTGAAAATTATTAAAACCAATGATGCTCCGAGTTCGCTCCGCTGTCGCGCTTTCTACTCTGGTGGTAAACGACTGGAAGTCTCCAAGAAATCGTAGTCAGCGCACAGACGGAGGAAAGTTTCAAGAGGTTTTTGGATTCGTTACTGCGCAAGATGCCATGACAGCAGTGTGACTCTGGGACTTCCTTAGTCACTTGTGGACTGTTGCGTCACTAAGACACGCTTGCTTCTCGAACTAAATTGGATGGGACGATGCTAACATGGGCTTTCATTCTGCCCTCTGCAAATCAATTAAATCAAAGGCTGCACAGGGATATCAGTTATAGAGCTAATTGTTTAGTATGTATACTTTCGCCGTGGATTCCAACAGTAGTGTATTAGGGAACATTTAAAGTTGTTTGGATAAACATTTTTACATAAAGCCAAAATTGCAGCTTTACTGAGACAAAAAGGAACATTAGGAATAATGTAACATTGTTTTCGAGTAATTCGAAATATTCCAGTATACTAGATATCCAAATATAGTAAGCCTAGGACGAAGAAACTGGAAAACTTGGAAATCACAACAGGATATGTGTAATGCGGTAGTTCATAAAATGCGCTGATATATATCATATGATTGAGCAACTTACTTATATCTTGATCACAATTTATTGCTTCATCTCAGCTGCTCACAAGATTGATTAGACTAATCGAAATCTAGAACAAAAGCAAACGATCGTGTTTCCCATTCACGCTCGTCATCGGTGGGCATTCTTGCGCAGCAGCTTTATAATAGGGTTATGAGGTCCAAAGTTAGACGTTAGTACTTGCAAGGAAAGTTCGTTACCATTCCACCTACTCAAAAGTAAAGTATATATGTAGTAAAATAATTAAAAATAATGGGTAGCTGGCGTGTGGACCCATATAATTTATTCATACGCTCGAGCAAGCATTTCGATAAATTTTCGTAAATCGCCCCATGGACAAATTACATAATATCGATGCAAAGTAGGATTAACTATTTTGCAAGTATTTGTGATAGTGGATACAATTTTATTATATACAAAGCAAACTCCACCTACGTTTGGGCATTATTTCATCACATAAAAAATCGAATACGGATTAGAAATAATCACATTATTGTAATTGTAATGTTGCATTATTAGAGAAAGGAGCACCATGTACATTTGTAGACTACATAAACGGTCCGGCATCAGCAACTAAGAATTACGCTGTCATTGACAAAGAAAACCGTGTATATTATATTTTTCTCAAAACACTTGAAGGCTTGTTTTCCAATCAGAAAGACGCAACCGCACATTACCAGAAAGTTTCAATATAGTAAAAAGCTTACAAATCGAGGATTTAATCGTTTATAAGGAAATCTGTGTGGAACAATAGTAACTGTTCTGGAATTAATTTAACTAAAGGCACTGTTAACAAACTCCACGAAAGCGGTTTTATTTTTAGTTAAGAAAATGGCACTGTTGTAGGGATAAGTCAACTGACAATTTAAATACCCCGACAAACTGATGCTTATTTCTGGCGTTGAACGTCACAGCATTTTAGTTTTTGTCTCTGCTACATGAATTACTGTGAGATTCTCAAGTAAAGAACTAGTTTAAATCACTAGATAGTATATATTCCAACACGGTAAAACTCAAGCAATGGTAGACCATGAGACTAGTCTACTGGATACAAACGAAGTATTGAAACGGCTAAAAAAGAACGATGGTATACAACTTTTAGTGAATATTTTGTTTTCGTGAAGGTACCGCATGCGAACACAGCTTAGTGACATTTCCAGCTGCTCCACCGACGTGCAAGGCTTCATACCATCACCATCCATGAAAAGTTGTGTGGACATAATGAGGCGGAAATTGTAGGGATTTCTTATAAACTGAAAAACACACCTGTGTTTGAATCATCCAGCGATGGGCTGCAGGATTTGAACCAAGCTGTGAGGTTCCGAAGTTTATTGACATGCACCTAGGGTAAGTATTCTGGGGACTTCAGCACGGTTGCTTCTTCCAGGAAAGAGATTGAACATTCGTCAGTAACAATTTAGCTCGAAAAACATAAAAATTCGTCGTGATCAATGTGGCGTTCCCCCCCTTAGCCTGATAAACTGGGTGCATGCGGTAAAATAATCCTACAGCGGACGGATAACAATGAGTTGAACTCCAGGTAAGATGAGATCGCACAATGGCGATAAACGGTTAAGGAGGCCATAGTCTTTGCTATAATTCAGGAATCAGATGCTTACTCTATCTGACGAGGTCAAATGAGAACAAACTGCGTCATGAAGTTCAGTGTTTTTAGAGAAGCAACAGCCATTTTACATCTCTTTTGACTGCAACCCTGGTGCTCGAATGACCAAGGTTCACTTCAGTGTGTATCTAATCACATTGAGATTGCGCTTCGCAATTCATCCACATAACGTGTATTTAAAAATGGCCATACAATTAGTCAATGACCGTCGTGCCAATCGTTTCCCGTCGTGACCTGGTGTCAACAGTGGTAGGGGTTTTGTCTACTATTAGGGCGCTCGCTGGTCCAAGGCCTGCAACTTCAATCTGATGAGAGCAAATAGATGCGGATGTATTCATCTTGTATTCAGTCATGGAAGACAGTATAGTAGAAGACAGTACATCGCATCTTAATTTGGTCTTCAACTGTGAAATGCAAACAAACGAGAGTTTCCCTAATTCGTGGGCACATTGGTCCCACCATTTATAAGCCTTGAACATGTGTTTAAAAACAATCAAAGTGCAATAAATTAACGACCTTTGGGTATTAATTTTTGGTACTGTCATAATAATTGCAATTCGCCAGAGGTCAGCGCTCTTGTGTTTGTATAACTTTGCGAAAGAATGTAGCAGATAAGTAGCATATTTATTGCGGAAGAGAAGACACTGTATATCCGCAACATGTATTTTGTTCTTTTTCAGGTTAATCATTGCCCCATATAGTGTAAAGCCCTTCATGATACGTGGGTAATTTGTGGACAGTTGTAACGCATTGCAGACAAAGTTGAGCTTGGGATCTTTCACATCCACAATGGACTGCGTGGTTTTACTTTTGACACAGCGTAACCATTCTAATATGTTAGACGGTTTTGGATAATTGCTACTTCCTCTTACGGCTTGAACTTTGGTATACATGATCCGACACAATTCGATCTCTGTGTCCGTAGACAGGACGTTTAATATTGTAATACGTTGTCTTTGAATGTCTATTTTTTGAGTCTACACAGTCGCTTGTCGGCTTATGTCTAGAAGCTACCTGCACGAATAAAATTTTTCAGCGTTACAGAAGATGTTGAAGAGGAATTTTAGGTCACTGGTTAACTGACCGCGCAATTCTAACATGGTCGCATTATAAGAAAAACAAAATATTTGTAGGCAATACATTCCTGCGGTCTGTGCATTTCCGAAGGAACGCATACTGTTTGCCTGAATTTTAGGTCTTCCCCTCCAACAGCTAAATATTTTGTGGTTCACTAAGCAATGAATAATAGGAAATACCTTACGGTTGAGTGAAGGCAGATGCCAAACGGTGCCGACATACAGGATGAGACTTGTTAAATTTTAACAAATAACTAATCTAGGATTTCTTATAATGCGATTAACGATTGTGCAATATTCGTTAGCTTATATTTTCGGTGAATCCTGAAGTCACACATGTTGAAACACCCGAAAGATTTGCCTAAAGATATATCCAGATATACAAGGCTATCTGCTGTAAATGCATTGTACATTTCTTCGGGTTCGGTGCTGGACCAGCGAGAGAAAGACTACGTAAGCTAATGA